TATGCATAATTTAAGCATAAAAATGGGGCGAGCATGCTTAAAAAATCACCCTGTATATAATATATATAATATATATATTTAGAATTTGATGTATCTTCTTAAATATATTGAACCAAAATAGCTTTTAATTAATAACGAGTTTTAATAAGTTTTAAATTTAGCGAGTATTATATGCAACTGGTGTTGGTATAGCACTCGCAATATTCGCGTAAAATTTGCATCATTTCATTGATTTCTTCGTGAAATGCTCATTGTTATTATTAAATTTAAAAAAGAAGCAAAAGTTGTTTTTGACGTCAACTTGATTTAAAAGTAACATAAAACACATTAGAATTCATTGAGTCTGTATTTTTCGAAAAAAAAAATAAGTTTAAGTATAGAGGTGCATATATGGTTGTCAATTTTTGAAATAATAAATATTTACTATTATTTGCGGACGTTAAACAGTCCAGTTATTGAACACCTATAGGCTATAGGCCTATTATCATATAATATATCTCAAAGAGTTAAAGAGGCTATTAAGATGTCATGCTAAAAGTGAAATATACCTACCTATACAACGCTTAGAAGTAATAAAGACACCTACAGACTATTATTTGCATTCTTATTAATTGTTCATGATGTAACCCAGTACAACAGTATAAAATAACAAATACAAAATGTAGCTACAATTATGACGATATCGCAGATTTGATTGTATCGAATCTATACAATCATATATATATTCTAAGCTATAAAGTTGAGTGTACACAACAGCGACCAGCGAGAATACCAGTGATTGGGAAAAGGGGACCATGAAATAAGAAAACAATGTGCCAAAAGCTAGACCAACTGGCGACTAGCCAGACAATCAAGCAGAGACTCGAGTATGGCTTTGGTGTTATTTAATAATTTAATATGTATAGCAATTAGCAGTTGAGCTGAGCTCGGGGTCTCTCAGTCGCTAATTTAAACCATCGACAAGAATACAAAATGATAGACGTATTTGGACCACGGAAAATAGTTGTAATTATTACAGATAATAACAGTGGCGTAGGTATATAGAAATTAATTTCGAGGGGGGTATTACAAAAAAAATTTAATATTTCAACATATTACTCTTAAATTCTAATTAGTTACACTCCAACCATAAATTTCGGAGAGGGGGGTTGAACCCCCGTCATCCCTAAATACGCTACTGGATAATATATCTATAATATACGTGTATTTGTTATATAAATCTGTGGTGTACTGGTGTGTGGTCAGTGTCGACCTGGCTCAGGCGACTAGGAGCCAGTAGGAGGCGATCGCCTCCGGGCTCCGAGGCCCCGACCTGTATTTTTCAAGATGTGGCCTTATTTCATTTGTTGAAAATGTTTAAATACAAGTGTATAATCAAACGTACATTTACCGATTGTGTGCGTTCTGGGTGCTGATACCCAAGCCATTGATTATTCAAATTTACTCAGAGACTGCAATTGGTTAGACCCAAATTCATTTTACAACATTGAGTCAATGAAACATAGCGATGATTTAAAAGCTATTTGTGAATTGCCAGGAGTATACAGACAAGTAATATGCTTGGAGCTAAAACAATTTGCTTCTCAATTTAAAAATTTTCCTACCAGATTTAACTTCTAGTGATTTAAATTACAAAAATAATACAAATACTCAAACTAAATCATCTATAAAGATACTGAGAGTGAAGATGAAGTAACAATAAAACCTGATTGTAATAAATGCAGAAATTGTATTTATTGTGATTTTGTAATAATTCGAGAATTATCATTTCAATCAAATCTATTTTGTAATTTATTACGAATTTGTATTAATTTTACCATCTACACAAGTTTCATGCGAGAGAGTTTTTTCAAAACTAAAGATTATAAAAATAAAATCACGATCAACTATAAAACAAGAAAATTTTGGTCCGTTATTGAAGATGGCTGAAAAAGATATAGAAATCGACCGAGAAAAATTGATTGACAATGTGGATAACTCATCAAATTTATTAAAAAGACAACTAATATAAATTGAATAATACAACAATCTAGTTCTGTTATGTTATTTAATTAATTTTTATGCATATCACATTTTGTGGTTACATATTGTTAAAATTTTGAATATTTTTTACTACAATGAAAGCTGTTAACAAAAAGTTAAAGGGGTATTTTTGAAAGGCCCCTCGAGAGGCCCTTTGAAAAAATTGCTCCATGGGCCCTTTAGATCCCAGGCCGACACTGTGTGTGGTACGGCCATGGACAAAGATTCTATAGTTAATAGTAGAAATTTATACTTTGTAAATTATAACATATCAATATATAAAAACATAAAGATAAATGAAGCATTAATTATAATAATATTCATCAAAATAAATTAGTTTATTATTTTATTAATGTTAATTTTGCCTGATGAATGATGATCATGATATTATTACTTATGATTGAATAATTTATGATAATTTTTTTTTTTACTTATTATAATAATATTCAAAAGATAAGAATAAAATAACGGCGATCCGCCGCCTTACCAAAATCCCCTCCTCCTACGAACTATTATCATTTTATTGCAATCATTCGCGATTACCGACGTGCTACGCCCCAGTGCGGCCCACCGTCAAGGACTGGTGACTCTACTGACGCTGCAGGCCTGCAGCGTGCTGACGCCGATGCCGACAACGGTGAACGGTCGTCATCAGCTGTTCAACGGTATGCCAACGTCTGTCCCGGTGAAGGGTTGAGAGAGGAGTTTTCGGTGGCGCGTTCACTCCTCACCTTACCGCACGTCCAGGGCCGTCCAGCCGACCTCGCGTAGACAAATCCGTAACTCGTCACGAAATTCTCGTACACAACTTCATGCACGTAATGTAACAACATACGCAAACGCGCGCGCATAGGTACACATTATATGGTATATACGCTTACGCTCGTGGTATATATATATATATATGAATGTGTGTTGTGATTTTTTTTTTATTTGGTTTTTTGCGGTCTTCTTTTTTGTCCCCTATTCCGCCGGACCGGAGAAACATGCGGATCGCATAGCCATTTCACCACGATAGCGTAGTTTTTTTTTTACAACCGCACCGCATCATTATTGTTCGTGCCATCCAACAACGATAATATTAATACACAACGATACCTGTAGTAGTTGTAGTAATAATAATAGTTATTATTATTATTTGATATTATCACGCCTGCCGCTGCAGCAGTGGTGTTTTCCTACCTCGTTGGCCGAGCGGTTCTCTCCCGACTCCCGAGTCTTGCTCTACAATACATCATCACAATCATCGTCGTCGTCGTCATCGTTATTTGTTTCATTAATATTATTATTACAGCAGTCCTCACGTCGTCGCATAGCCAATTGTTTCGCCGTGTAAACACTAAACAACCCATAAACAGCAGTCTTATCACCGTCGCCGTCGATACCGTTTTTTAGCAGTCACCGTAAATTGTAGTAGCACATTATTTGATCACGCCCGGCTTCGTACACGATAAACGACTAACATGTCCGACGATAAAGTAATTGGTCACCGGCTCCAAAGTTTCAAGCACAGAGGCAAAACCGAAATCGTAAGTACACTGCTGGATGTGCACAACAATTATAAATTTATAACTGCAGCTCTAATTTAATTCTTAAAACTTTTCAGTGCCTACCTAAGATAAACTTATTGTTTGAATTAGGCACAATTAATGTTTCTTTCTGGTCTTGAACAACATTTTATTTGTTTTCAAAACATGGGTATAGATCAATTTTAGTGTTCTTGGTAGTTAGTCCTTTAAGAACATCAATTTGTTTGAGTGATTACATATTATATAAATACTATATTGGTTGTTAAACGCGTCAACATAATATAGCTCTGAAATATCGAGTGAAATATGCAGTGAATTGTGTACTGWGCGTATTTGAATTTTCATCAAAATGTGTGTAGTGGACAGTGTATACAAAAGGTAAGCTGTTGTAGATGACTTTTAGTGTTTAAAAATGTGAACACACTTTATACAGCTTACTCATGTATCAGGTTAGATGTCTTTTACTTGTGGTACTATGGATATGAACAAGAGTGGTAGATTCTGGTAGTTATATATTTTAACCTTGCTATGTTCAAGTTTACACTACCTGCTTCAATGGTTATTGATTACAAATTTGTAGAAATTAAATAAATTAATAAATACCTATWACATTTTTTTCTACTCTTCTCTGTTATATATTTAAAATTGAAATGTCTAAAAACTAAAAACTTGAATTATTCTGTGACTTACAGCTTAAGAGAATGTAGCATTGACATTTGTTGTTTTCGTTTTACCAGTGTGTTACTTAGTGAGTTTATGCTCAACAGATCATGTAGCTGTTCATTAGCTTAAAAATTTGAGTACATCAATCTCTTATGAAAGTTGATTGTAAGAACATTATCTGTGTTTTATGATAGTTAATTTTTTTAGAAAGTTTTGCGTTTATAATATAACATAAATTAAAAATGTTCATAACTCGCCTGAAACTGAATTATTGTAAAAAAGCATAATATGTAAACCCTAATAATGTATTTACCATCAAGTTTCATAAAAGGTCTATTCACTCACATGTTTAGACTAACAAAGCTACACCTGATCTACTGAGTGTGAATTTGGCATGTTACTTAATTGTAAGACGGAGACAAAAAAATGTTAGTGTTTTATCTTCTTAAGACATTTCTAGAATTCAAGGAAATATACTTAATTTGACTTAAAATAAATTTATACATTTAGTAGAATACTTACATCATGGTACCTATGGTTTATCTTTGTCACTGACTATTGTATTTAGTAACAGGCTACTAAATATTTTTAAAATTCAAGTAATTTAATATTATCAATCTAATTCAAGTAGAAATCACTGTGTAAAATACTTCATCTGTTATGATGAAACTAAATAATTTTTTAACACCCATTGGCGTCATTTGCACCTTATTTTTCAATGAACTGTAACACTATCAACATTATAATTAAATAACTATTCTTTAGGTATTTTTTTTTCYGCGTTACCTATAAATTGTCTATTGATAATTTTATTTTTAGCCAATTAGCATCAATAAAAAATTCTTGATTGTTTCCGCACTTTGTACATTAAATATAACTCGAAATATAATTAGGTAGGTAGTAGATACTTCAACATTTGTATAAATTACACTATACCTAGTATAGCTGTTACTAAATAAAAATTTAAAAWCAAAAATATTGTGGAATTTTATAAAGAGATACCTATAAATTAATAAATTAATAAATAGATTTTAAAAATGTTAATCATTAAAATAATTTTTATAATTTTTAATTTATTTAGGGTGAGATTTAGGGCTATACAGGGTGTAACCGAAAGATATGACAGATTTACATGTAAATCTTACACAAATCTGTCATATCTTTCTGTTACACTCTGTATACATAAATTATTGAGTTGGCTGTAATTTAAGAATTACTGTTTACTTACCTATCTAGTTATACTTTTGATGCTATTGAATGATACATACCTGATTAAACTTTGATTACAAAATTTTTAATACAACCATAATATATTGTATTTTTTWAAATATTATTCTTAATTTATCATATTTAATTATTTACAAAGAGTTAATTGTGATAGGTATGTTGATATAGGCATTAAATAGGTATAAAATTATAAAATATATTGTGTTTTTAACGATTCTTTAAAATATACACTTAGATGTATACCAAATACATAAAACAACTGAAAGACATACAAATTTACAACTAAATGAATGATCCATAAACCACTGTTCTTCTGTTTTAAGAATTACATATACTTTCTCCATCTAGAGAACATGCTGTGGTCCGATGAAAATTTCTCTACTGAATCGATGTGTTCTCTTGCTAAACCAGCGTTTCCCAACCAGAGTGTCACAGCATTTTGATGTGCCATGAAACCTAAATAGGTGTGCCCCAAAATATCATGATTAATAATACGGTTACTCATAACTTAGATAGAAGGTTAAAGTTTTTTTTAACGATTTTCTTACTCTTATATATAAGGATTGAGGGTATATTTATCAATTATGGTGGAAATCAATGCCAAATTACTAGGACTACATTTTTATATCTTACATAAACATAATATGATCATAATGCAATGTCTATGTTTTTCAATATCAATAAATTAAATTATGATTTTAAATGTGTTTTCCTAACCAAAATAAACATTATTTTAAATTATTTGTTAGTGAAATGATGAAAAAATGATGAAAGCCTAATGCCCAAATATTAAAAAAATATATATATATTAAACATATTATATAAGTCGGTGTCAAGTGTGGTACAGCATAATGTCGGTTAGGACTATTGTGCCATGATGGAAAAAGGTTGGGCAACTCTGTTCACTATGCTAGACAGAGTATAGGTTGAAATATGAATATTGTTTCCTGCATCATTAAAATCTAATTGATAAACAATTGTATGAAAAATATTTTCTTTTCTATTAATCATATTTGTACTTGCTCATCAAAATAGAAGTATAATTAAAATAAAAAGATTAAATGATATGATGTTGTTTTTTTCATTACCACTGTGATAGCTTAGGCACTTTAAAAATAATTGAATTCTAATTGTTTCTTATAAGAAAATAGTGGGCACTGGGCAGTAATTCAGCGTGTATCTCCCTAACTAGTGATTTCAAAGGTCAGATTGTCATAGGTTAAAACAATCAGCTGGTAAAATTAACATTTGATAACAGTTTTATCATTATTCTTATGTTTTTTTAAAAGAACATAAAATAATATGAATATTGGGTACATATCTATGAATGAAACTTATTGTGCTAATCGTCTTTTTAACATGATTTATTACCCATGGTTGATCTTTTTAATTTTAGTGTATCATCAAATTAATACATTTTTTTTGCAACTTGGCTTACATATGTTATTTATAAATTATTTTCTACTTAAAATCCACTTAGAGTTTAGATTTAAATTATTAAATTTACTAAATGAGTACTATTCCTGCGATTGTACCTATTTAATTACATAGTAACTTTTTCAAGCATGGTTACACCCGAAGGAAAAATCAATGTATATCATTCCATTCCCTGGGTAATAATTTCCTTTGTGGATTTTTTTTTTAAGTATTTTTGATTAACATATTGTGAGTTCCATCCAGCGAATTATAAAACTTATAGCTAAGTATCTAATGAGAATGTTGGAATATATTTAAACAAATTTTTTAGAGTTATAATAGATTATCTATATTTTTGTTTAATATTAAAATGAATTAATATATTAAATTTATTATTAAAATTTATAATTTATTATTTAAACCTATACTTCAGAAGTTCAAAGTGTTAACGTAAAAAAAGATAGAGTTGTGAGAGAAACAAAATTTAAAATTAAGTTCTAGAAGATTGAAGTTTGACCCATCCCTAATAATAATAAACATTAGTAATAAGATTTTTTATGACACTATTTTGATAAATGACAAATATAATTTAACAAATTCAATATGAAACTGATGCAAAAACTGAAGGGCATTTTTCTATTAAAATATTGTAATTATTCAGTCAATACGACTTTTATAGAAGTGAATTACACCTAATAAGAACTTATACTTGATGATTAGGGCTAGGATTTATATGCATTTGCATATTTTTTTTCATCCATGATGATGTACAACTCTTTCTATATTAACGTATTTCAAATAAAATGTATCTATTAAAAGTGTTTATGTACCTGTTACATCTATCTTTCTGAATTCTAGGAAAGGCGAAGGATTAGAAGTGAGGCAACTGTTGGGCTAAGAAAAAACAAACAAGAACAAGAGTTGATGAAACGTAGAAATGTCGGAGAAGTAGTGAATGGTAAATAATAATAATACATATTATTGTATTCTAAAGATGTGTTTAGTATTTTTATTAACTTTCAGATGATATAGACTTGGAAAAACCTTTAACTGAACATGACCTACGCTCTTTGGTTGAAGAAGCTGGTAGTACTATTCCAGATGTACAACTTAAAGCGATACAGTCTGCAAGAAAATTGCTTTCATCTGATCGAAATCCACCAATAGATGAGCTTATAAACAGTGAAATACTACCTATCTTGGTCCGTTGCTTAGATGAGCATAATAAGTAAGCAAATTGGTTTGCATTAGTAATCTTAAGACCGCTAATCATACAAAAAACTCCATTATAGGTTTCCAAATTTGCAATATTTAAGTCTAAAAAAGACATTTAATGATTTGATTTTGATTTTTGTATTTAYATTTATTCAATAATGCTTAAGGTATAAAGTAGTAACTACCAACAATTATAAATTATAAAAATAATATTTAGTTGTAAAAAATTAATATTAATTTAAAAGAAGTAATATTTCTTAAACATGACCAGTGTCCAGTAATATAGTTCTTTTAACATCATACTATCTGGTGTTTGTTTCCGTTGTGAATAAAGCTACATTTGAATTGAGTCCCAACTCCAAAAAAAACTTAATAATTAAGTACAGAAAAGAAAATGAGGATAAAAACTGAGTCTCCCATCGAATCAGTACAAGTACCTATATAATCTAAAAATGCTATTAGGATAATTTTATAATTTTTAAATTTTCCTTCGTCTGAACTGTAATATGATTTGAATTACCCTAAATTTTGAATCCTTGCCATATTTTTTAACCTAAATTAAGCATCATTCCTTAAAATTAAAATATTTTCTAGTGGATCTCTTAGGGTTTTTTATATTTTAGTCTTAGAACAAGTTATGAACTTTTTAAGATGTATAAAAAATTACAATTTTAAACTAGTTACAACTCAAATTAAAATTAAAAAAACCCTATTTAATTATAGATATCATTTTTACTTAAAATTTTTATAATAGACCAATTATTTCAACATTAATTATAACAGAGTTAAATGGTTTATTCGGATTGTAAATGTTATGTTTTTGTAAGATAGATACAATGTTTGGAGTTTATGTAGATAATAGTGTACTCTTAAATACTAAATTTGATCTGACTGTCATTTCAAAATCAATTTTAATCCGTTGTTGGCATTWGTGGTAAATGTATTTCTTAGCATTCTTTAATTACAAAATGAAATGCATTTAATTATGAACTTATCAATTTATTTATTGGAAAAATAAAGTATGTGACCCAGAAGTATTTGTATTTTTGATCCCATGGGTTGTAAAAACTTTAAAATTGTTATATACAACCTTTTAAAGTTCCATACGATTTCCTTCAAAAACAAATAAAATATACTCAAATATGTTAAGTGGATGGTACATAAAAATAATAAAACATTTGAATTTTTAACATTGACTGTTAAAAATGGTTCATCTTTGTTTATTTTAGTTTTTCTTACTCTTAGTTTTTAAAATATTATGGATGTGATTTGTGTACATTAGTTAATTTGGTAATAAAGAGGACTTGGAAAAGTAACATATTTTATTCTAATATAATACAATTCAGTAGTAGTCAAAGTATCAATGTCATTTGTCAGAAATATTGTCTTTTGCTTTTTGTTTTAATTAATTGTTCGATATTTGTTTATTTAATTGTAGATGATTATTTTATTTTCCATGTTTATGTTTAAAAAATAATATTTTTGTCTTTATCTATGGTGAAAATAATCTAGTGAGTGTAAAGTTAATTATTTTTTACATTTTATTATTGAAAATCTTAYCCATTTTAGAGAAGGGCCATTAACTTTTTTTCGTGTACCTTCCCATATCTTTCATTTCCATTTTTTAAGGAACTCATGAAAACGAAAACTAAGTTGTATTTTTAACTCAGAGAATTGAATTATTTTCAAACATGTATTACCCAACATCAATCATAATATTGTAGTGTACAAYGGATAGAAATTAATTTTAAAAATAAATTGAAATATCCCTATTTCATACTATTTTGAGAAGATAATGCTAAGATATTAATATATATTGAAACCGGCATGTTTAAATTGTTATGATTTTTTATCCGTTGTATTGGGTATTTAATAACATATTTTAGACATGGCCCCATTTATAATTTATATTATATACACTTTCAAAGAGTGAGGACTATAATTTATGTATATGGTGTAGTTAAAAAATATTTTTTTTTCAATTATCTATTTATTARGCTTAAAATTAGTTAGAAATAAATAACAATATTATGTCATATATTGTTATACAGATGAATTTTATTTTATTTTTTGATTATTGGATTTGTAATGTGTTATTACATCTTAAAAATAATTTAGTTCAGATTTTAATTTATCATTGGTTTTAAATTTTAAACATCAAAGACCAACAATTGATTAAAACATTTTCGAATTTATGAATTTATGATTTATTTTTAAAAACTTAACACAGACATATTAAATCTAAATTAAATTATGTTATATTAAAYATTAGTTTGTTATTATGTAAAAATATAATTTTATCATATTCATATAATTTGTTTATAACTTGTTTTTAGTCCAACATTACAGTTTGAAGCAGCGTGGGCTCTAACCAATATTGCAAGTGGTACATCCATGCAAACTCAAGCAGTTGTCTCAGCTGGAGCTGTTCCGTTGTTTTTAAATTTATTAAATTCATCTAATCAGACAGTTTGTGAACAAGCAGTTTGGGCATTAGGTATTTAACTAATATTATTTATTTAGTTTTTTTGAAACTAAATCCTAAATATATAATTTATTTTATTTTATTTTAGGAAATATTATTGGTGACGGTCCGCAACTACGTGACTATGTTATAAGTTTGAATGTTGTGCCTAGATTACTTCTCTTTATCAATCCGGCTATACCAATAACATTTATGCGGAATGTCACATGGGTTATAGTGAATTTGTGTCGAAACAAAGACCCACCACCAGCACAACATGTTATAGATGAACTTCTCCCTGCTCTTAATTATTTGATTAATAATAAAGATATTAATGTAATTATAGTTTACTTTTAATATTATTTTCAGTAATATAACACTTACTAATTAATTATTATTTTATTTTGTTTTAAGATTCTTGTTGATACTGTTTGGGCTATTAGCTATTTGACAGATGGAGGAAATGATCAAATTCAAAGAGTTATTGATAGTGGTATAGTGCCTAATCTTATACCACTATTATCACACAAAGAAGTGAAGGTTTGTTTAGTAACATATTGACTATGAATTCGAATCATAATATTAGAATTATTACATGTTAAAAAAAAAAAATGTTTAGGTACAAACTGCAGCCTTGCGTGCAATAGGAAATATTGTTACAGGAACTGATGAACAAACACAAATAGTTCTTGATGCTGGTGCACTATGTCATTTTCCTGCTTTACTCTCTCATTCAAAAGAAAAAATATGCAAGGTAATTATTTAAGTATTTTTTGTTATAAATAGTTTGGAAGAAATATTTATTTCTCTTCTATTTTATAAAATAAGCCCCATGTACCAATAATCATGAATTGAAGAGAAGGAAGTAGCTAAATAGTAGAAAAATATAAATTTGGATTGAAATCTCAAACTGTTAATTAAAATGTAAAAAAGTTTAAAACATTGTTATGGGTGATGTGAAAGTGTCATTCCTAAATGTATGTACGCCTGAGTAATCACATCTGAATAAGGCCTAATTTCTGGATTTATTATATAGTCAGTATACTCCACTTAGGTTCTCTTGGTGGTCATTTGAAAGGTGCAAGTTGTGTTGCCACAATGTATAAAGATCCCATTCTTTTGGTTCATGGGATTTGATGCAGTACTTTCCTCTATACCAAAACCTCTTAAACCACAAGTATACACAGCTATGGTAATTTTAGCGCATTGTTGTGTGTATTGCATACAATTGCACAATTTATACGTTATGCAACTATCTCCCTCAGTAATTATTGAGATTACATACCCTTGTAATAATATGTTGAATCACAAGCCTACATCACAATTAGATGTACATTACTTTATGTTGTTATTATAATATTATATAACCTTGTTGTAACATAAAATATGTGGTATCATTAGCCTAGGCTGTAGTTACATTTTATATTTAATGAAGAGTTCATAGTATGTTTTAAATAATACATTTATTTACAAAAATTTTTTTTTTTTGTAGGAAGCTGTTTGGTTTCTTTCAAATGTTACCGCTGGAAATCAAGTTCAAGTACAAGCTGTTATAGATGCTGGTCTTATACCAAAAATAATAACACATCTATCAAAGGTAATATTAGTTCCTAATATAATTTTGTTTATAATATATTATACATTATATTTTTATGATAATTGTAGAGTGAATTCCAAACACAAAAAGAAGCAGCATGGGCAATTACTAATTTAACTATCAGTGGAAATAGTCAACAAKTAGATTGTGTTATCAGTGCAGGTGTTGTTGCTCCCCTATGTGCTTTGTTGTCGTGTCAAGATAGTCAAGTTATTCAAGTTGTTTTAGACGGTCTACAAAATATGCTTAAAATTGCTGGTCCTGATGTTGATGCCTTAGCTAATTTGATTGAAGAATGTGAAGGTAATTTTTAATTTTATATTTAATCTTATAAGTAAATTATTAATTTTAATGGCTTAATTTTTTCTATTAACAGGCCTTGATAAAATCGAACAACTTCAAAATCATGAAAGTGTTGAAATTTATAAAGTTGCATTTGATATCATCGAGAGATATTTCTCTGACGTAATATATTTTGTCATACTCAGCATTGATAATTTTTACACTTTTTTTAATTATTTTAGGAATCAGCTTCACCTACACAACCTCCATCATGCTTTGAATTCAATCCGGCTACTACAAACACTCAGTTTAAATTTTAGTTTTTTTTTAACTATTATTATTTTTTTTATAATATTGAATAAGCGCGACTACTTGGACGATAAAATATTGTACTTGTGATTTTTAAAATCATTCTCGTTGCTTTATATCCAATTTTGAATCAATTCTTACTAATTCAATTTAAAATTATTTTTTCATGTCCACTTTCAAATTGATACTGAATCGATTTGGTAATTAAACCTTGGCCAAAACTGAAAGAAGAAGAAGGGAGAAATTGAGCTATTGGAAATTAAATGTTAAACATATTATTGTGTAGCAAATATATAAAAATATTTTTTCAATTTTGTATGCTTTGTGTGGTTAATGAATTATTGATCAAATTGTATACAATTAATGTTGGCCTCTATATTCTAGTTTTGAGTTTTCATGCATCAAGATAGATCTATTTATTTTCACAGTGAAATATGTTGATGTTCTTTTGGCTCCAACGAAGCTAATGATAAATTAAAAATAAATTCTGTTAGCATTTTAACAATCCATTTGAAATATTTAAAACATTTTTACACCACATTAAATCTAAGTTCACTATTTGACATATAATTATTGTCAAATTTAAATATTAGAATACGATTACTAGTGAAACCATGTACCATGAAATATTATTTTTAATATTATTTTGTTCATTTGTACGAGATTTCATATTGTTTAGATGCAAAAAATAAAATCTGAAACAATCATTTATAAAATGTTTGACTAATATTGTTCTCAATACATGGGTTGTATTAATTATTCTGATTTTTTAATTTTAACTATGTTGACATTTTAAAATTTCAATCCATCTGTGCATTTAATATTACAATCTCATTTATGTGGAAAACTTAAAGTACTAAAATTAATATAACATTATTCTTGTTTCAATATCTTATGCTTTAAGATATAAATGTTTAATATGTTAAACCCAATTATTTTTACTATGAGCTAATTAATGTTTTATTTATGATCATAAAGTACTTTTAATTTCAATGATCCAAAAGTTGCAAACTTATTTSCAACTTAAACTGATAATATTTTTTTATATATAAATACATTATATATTATGTTCAGCTCAATTTCACCCTTTTTAATTGTATATCTATTATGTTATATCCGTGATAATTTTTGAATGTATTTAGTATTGTTATTATATCTACGTATTATAGAATTTTTTTCATTAAAACATAATTTTACTTACAGTTCGCCTTAAATAAATGTAATTCAAAATATAAAGCTTATAATTTCTATGCAAATTTGTTGAGTAAAAAATGTAAAAATAATTTGTTTTCACATTAACAATTTTCTGTGAATTAAAAAAATACCATGACAATATTGTACACTTAACTATACTAGTTTACTCAATTATAATAATATRAATTTGAAGTGCTGTGTGTAGTAATTCAAAGACATCTTGTACATTGACAATTATTAGGCTGTAGTACTCGTTTTGTTTTCCCTTCGACCATTGAAACTTTGCTCCCAAATGGAAACTTTATAACAAGATCTAATGAACCTTCATTTATTTCAATGTAATTTAGATAATTGTTAGTTTCAATCATTATGTTATTATTGATGTTTAACTTGTTTTCACTTTTTTTTTTTGAGACTATACTTTTTTTCTGGCTTTCTCTTGACTTGATATTTACTTGGTGTTTCGTATTTTTCACAACCTGTTACAACATCAAATCATTTACATTCAAAAATATTTTTAAATTCAATTGAGACAAATTGTAATTTACCCTATCATTATGTATGGACAGGCTTCGTAATTTTTTTGACAATTTTTTTTTTGGTGGGTCCCATGGTATTCTCTCCTCTGGTATATTGGTCTAATTTTTAATTTAATACAATATGATTAGTAAATTATATATTGAAGTTCTGCGAAAAAAATATTTTCACCTTAGAAATTGACAAATTTGGGTTACATGCAATGCACCTTTCGTTCTTTACTTCAGTTTGTGCCTTTGTGGACTCTGGCAATTCTTCAATATCAACAGTTAGTTTATTATTACTTTTTGTAAATAAATTGACTCTATGAAAAAACCTGATGAATGAATCAAAGTAATTAAAATGTTCATAATATGTAAAGGATGTTAAATTATCTACAATTTGTTTAATTGAGTACTACCTTGTTCTATTGCATATATCTATTTTACCTGTAATTCACTCTTAAAATAGACATGATAGGTCAGGTCAGACCACAACTATATTGAAATTATGTATATTTCCATAAATATTTATTTTACCTCATCATGATTTCATGTTCTCTACTGTATAAGAAAGAAATAAGATAGTTCAAAAAAATATGTGATTATACTTATCAATTTTGTCATGGTTCAAATTTCTGTGGAACTCAAAACTTATATGTTGTAAATAATATTGAATGTAAAATATTGCTAGCCGTTATAAAATATTAAAAATATACCTTAAATCTATATGTATAAAATACATAATATTATTATACATTAATACTATGCAGTATCTACAAAATAGTCAAATAAGTACATTATTTAGTATGTAATTTAATGTTTCTATTGAATAATTCTCAGTTGATACAAATATACAATTTTAAATGCTACAAATGTATTTTCTTTAATTTTAATAAAAATAAATTTTAAAAATGCTCATAAATGATAACTTATTTTCATATATTATTATTTTTAATGTCCAAAAATAATAATTGCTTTGTATGATTTTTGTACAAAAAAATATTAAATGTTGGATTAATTGAACTTCAGATCATATTGGCAAATTTTACACTCAGCAGTTCCAATTTAGTTCCGTTAGTTTTGAATTTAGAGTCAGATGACTTTTAATAAAAATAAAATATTACATTATCAAGGCTACCATAGAGGATTTTTATTTTAAAGCAAGTTATAAGTATTTTTAAAATAGTAAATTGTTGTATAGCAGTATAGCTTAAAATACTCAAAACTCGCTTTAAAATTAAAATTAAAAAATCCACTGTGATAACCTAGATAAAAATGATACCTTTAATTTTTTATAATAGGTTAAGTCACTTATTTTTACAATTATTGGAACTGCTGATTGTTAATTTTGCTGTTATGCATTTGTAAGACGGAGACACGGAGATACCTAACACATGCGGATGTAGTGTCCTCTAAGCATTGATTTTAATTCATCATATAACTTTTTTTTTTTACATATTTAAGTACCTATTTTGTGTCTTCACATATCATATTAATATCAAATTAAAAATATATTTAATAAAACTATATAAACTAGTCATGCTATCTCAATACCTAATTAATATTATTTTTTAATATAGGTACGTATATTTATAAAATAATTTGTTTATATGAATATAATATTAAAATAAGAAATAATAATTATTGTACTTTTATAGTATTTACGATTCTTATAAATAATTTATGTCTAATAAATCACAAAAAAATTGTTAAGTTGAGGAATTATATCATTAAGTAAATTAATATTTCTCGATTACTTGTAGCTTTAAAATACATTATCATTTAATTGTTTACATTTCAAACAATGCAATACATTATACATCATACCATGTATATAATACTGTTTTATAAAGAAYTTAAAATTTTTAATTTTTAATAAATCACAAGTGAACAAATTTCCGAATACAACACTTTTAAAAAACCCGGAGCTGTCAATGCCCCCTCTAAATGTGGTCGTGCTACCACTATTAGTCAGTAGGTATAATCGCCCATGGTATGCCAATAATTAATAATTATTCTAGTTTTTACATATGGCAACACYACAAAAACATATATTTTAAATTTCTTTTTTTTTATGCCGAACAATTAGTTTCCAAATAAATAAATTTTCTTACTTTGGTTGTTCTTGATCCCAACGGTTGTCCACACGTTTGGTGGTCATTATTTCGTTCAAGTGTCTCCACAAAATACCATTGTTCAATAATATTTGCGTACACCTCTCTCGTTCTGTTTGGTATTTTTTTGTCTTCAGCACTATGTGCTGCCACTCCTGTGGTGGCGTTGTATCAACCCGTGCGGTCGCCGCCTTGAGCTGAAATATTCACGAGATAAATTTTTTTTTTTAAAGAACTAAAAATGTTTACCAAAATATAATTGATCAATTATAAGCTAATGTCTACTAAATCATGTTTAAGTCTTAGCTCTCTAGATAGGTAGGTATTGATTCATATTGATGTTCAGGGGCGTAGCCAAGATTTCTACAAGGGGGGGGGGGAATTAAATAAATAACATTCAAATAAAAGTGTTTTTAATTTTCCAAATATTTGGAAAATACTGATAATAATGACAGCCTTAACAATCTACGGCGCTTTGACAATAAACATTACATTTTTTTTTTTAATGTTGGCTATGTACCGGTTGGGAGTTAAAATTAAAAAATGTACGATTAATTTTATATACTATATGCAGTGATGGGAAAGTTCTTTCTATAAATGAATTAGTTCAAGTTCAAGACATTAAATATGAACTAGTTCAAGTCCTAGTTCAATAGTTCATAATTTTTARAATGATCAAAAATTATAAAAAGTTACTAAAGAAAATGTGTTTAAAAAATAATAAAAATAATATGTGTTGAAATCGGCCTCGAAACCGGCGATACGCGGCTCTGCAGCATACTTAATGTCTTTATCCTATATTGTTATATTCCTATGTAAATGTAACTAATTAGTAATTATTAATTTTAAATAATTATTATAGAGTAGTGACTAGTGGTTAAAATAATGTTGAGTAATAAACAAAAATAAAAGCATAATTAAAAGTAATTTTGATTGGGTGATAAAAATAATTTTATATTTTTCCAATCACCCTGTATTCTGTGGAACACTCTGTATACAGCATAAAGTAATTTGTATGATCGTGTTTTGGGAATGTTATTTATAACACTATATTTTATTATGTCAAGTTACAACAGAATTATAATAACATGCCAATACTATAGATGATATACCATTCTTATTATATCGGCGATCAACGGCGTCGTAATTTCAGGGCAAACATAAATATCCAAACTAAAAATAAACAAAATTAAAAACAAATTATATCTTTTGATTCCTGAGAAGGCACCTGATCGGCTACATAACATTTCAAAACGTTATCGTATAGCCTGTTCTATGAAAATTAAATTATCAATGAACGAACCCAAAACGTTCAAAATCATAMTTAATAAGAACTTAGTTCAYGTTCAAGTTCATTTMTTGAAAATCGAACTCGTTCAGTCGTTCATGTCAAGTTCAGTGTTCACTCAGTATGGAACGCGTTCATATTATTATTTCTTCTTTCTCATCACTGATGTTTATGTGCTATTAAATGATACGGCTCATGGTGGGA